AAAACACTCCAACACAGGAGTTAGTCTTCATACTGAAACACTGTAGAAACAGAACTTCTGAGTACCTAAGAAATGCTGTATTGTGTGTCTGTACAGCAGAGCCAAAGAAAGTTCTCCCTCGATACAGAAGTAACCAGAAACAAAAGTATAACCAGCGTATCGTAAGAATTTATTCAAAACTAGAGCATGAAGACATGAGCATACCAAGAAAAAGCTCACATAACCAAGTTACATGAATAGGACAAATCAGACACCCATGCAGAAGAAAACATGGACAAAACAGTAATGCACATGTTTTTTGTAATGGCAAAATATTTACCATCCTAAAACAGTGTTCCAGACACCTAGAGTACTTCATTAATGTAAAAGATTATTTTTCTGAATGTGGATAAGTGCAATTTGGTAGTAATATGGAAAATAAACAACAAATTTAACAGCTACAGTATTCATCAGTCCTCATGCCATGTTTAAGAATACAAGCAAAGAATTGCATCAGTACAAAAAATAAGTAGATGTCTTTTCAAGGCAAAAAATTCCGAGTAAAACAGTACTAAACTGCTGAAATAATGACTTGATAATATAAATGTTAAAAACAAAAAAAACCATCTGGACGGGTACTTTTTGTAAAATTACACTAATATTCTGTAGAATCAAAAGTTATGGTAACTGAATGGTCCAGTGCTCAAAACACTAATCAGAGCTTGAAAATAGTTCCGAAATCTGATAACTACAGAACTCATATGTAATATTAGGCAGGCAAAACAGTAGGGAAAAATGTAAATCTCACTTGAGAAATGGTAAGTCTATACTCTAGTGGTATTTAAGAATTTGGAGGTGAACAGCTTTACAAGCAACTGTATAGCCAAGTCTGACATAAATATACAATAAATACAGTATAGTTTTGTAAGAGTTCTGTGTATTATAAAAATATAAAACTAATTTCCACAGATTGCAGCAGGCAAACCAACCTGTTAAAGGTAACACAATGAAGCTGAGATATGGCAATCTTGACTGCCAGGAATCATTCAGACCAAGCTGATTTTGGTTTACTTTATGCAGATATTTACAATGTCATAATTTAATGATAAAAATATCTATTCGTTAGAAAATAATTCCTCTTCAACCTCTTTTAAAAGCTTTGTTTTTTCTCTAAATACAGATTTCTGAAGTATTTAATAGTTTAGTGTAGTAATTATAACCTCGACTCACCTTCCCTTCCTATTTGCTGATAGAGTTCAGTGTCATACTAATAAAATTCCCCTAAAGGTAACCATCAAATCAAAATCTTTCTATTTCTTGAAGACACAATCTATCTGCAGTGTTGCAAAGAGTTTCTGGACACTGGCAAGGTTTGTTCAAAATTTTCTAATTCTCAAGCAAAGATGATATAGCTCAATAATATGCTGCTGGGTGAACATGCAGAGGAGTAGGGGAAAAAAGCTATATTTTCAGATGTTGTAAATTAGTGTAATTCCATGGAAGTCAATGGATTTGTGCCAATTTACACCAGTTGAGAATTTGGCCCATTTAGTCTTAAAACCATATTATGGCCAGTGCAAAGCTATTATATATAGAAGTCTTATTTTTTTAATTTTAAGAAAAGAAACTATGTTTGAACTTCCTTAAACAGAAATATTAAAAACACAACTAATTTATTACTATTACACTGATGGGAAAGTTTTGATTATGTCATTATCAAGCTCTGAAGGATCTACAATTTTCTATTAAAGACACAGAACACAAGAAGTAATGCCTGACTTTCCTCTTAGTTATGTTTTAGAGTCTAATTATCAGGCTGAGTGCAAAAGGGGAGCAGAGGTGGAATATTTACTAGCGTTTCCCTCAAGCCATTAGCTATCACCAACTTATTCTGCGTATTACCAGAACATAGTATAAACATGGTTGGGGTGAAGAAGATAATTGTTAAGACCCAAATTCTGCACTCAAATCAGTGTGAATTTGGCTCAATTCTGTCTTTTATTAGCTGACACAAGCTCCCTAAAATGGATTTTACATGATGCGTCAACTAATAATACTGCAGTGAACTGCAAAGATTTAAAAAAAAAAATCCCAGGTATTCAGTTCAAGATTTAGAAAATTAACAGAATGTGTGTAAGACTATATTACAGATATACGCACATTGACTTGCCACCCAAAACCAGAATTTTATTTTGGTGGTTACGCAGTGCTCGTCCCTGTTGTATCCAAGTTCAGAGTTCCGCTTGTGTCTTGCAACAACTGCTATTCCTAACACATAAAGCAATGAAGACGGTAGAGTTGCAGAGGAATGGCTAGCATAGCTTGTATACTTGCATCTACTGTTTGGGTCTCTGGAATACTCCCTCCAGTGAAGTAAGTAATGCCACAATATTAGACTTAGAAAAGCATGCACTTGTGTGTACACACAATGCCTGATAAGCTCTCACAAGTTTCCACATGCAAAGAATACAGATGTACTTTCATGTATATACTTTTGAAAGCCTGGATCCTACTACTTTAAGGCATTTTACATGGTATTACATTAACTTTTTATCTATGCCTTGTTTTAACTGTATAATTTTGTGTAGCACCTAGAGCTGGGGTATTCAAAGTTGAGCAACTAACTTCCTCAGCCCCTTTGGAAGTCCCAGCCTCAAACACTAAGGCAGTTTATCTGTAAATATATATGCATTATTCTATATTTCCTACCCGTTTTTCAGCATTAGTTATGTCTTTAAGTATTGCTGTAGACGGAACCCTGAACTCAAGTCTACACAGGTAAAAAAAATTAAGCCCAGATGAAAAACCCTAAAGATTAGTTAAACTACCTTGCTTCTTAAGCTTTCGAAGATGTTTCTCATATTCACTGTTATATACATAAACCCACCACACACTCCCATCTTGCCAACTGTAAAAATTCTTTTGGCTCCCCATTCCAGGTCCGTCAGGATGGAAAAATAACTATACATCAAGATAGCTCAGTGGTTTGAGCATTAGCCTGCTAAACCCAGGGTTGCGAGTTCAATCCTTGAGGGGGCCATTTAGGGATCTGGGGCAAATATCTGTCTGGGGATTGGTCCTGCTTTGAACAGGGAGTTGGACTAGATGACCTCTTGAGGTCCCTTCCAACCCTGATATTCTCCAAGCATTTGTCATATCACTCCCAGTGAATTGCTTATGTCCCTGCATGAGAGAGGGTATGTCTATCCTGGAGCTGGAAGGTGTAGTTTCTAGCTTGAGTTGACATACCCACATGAAGTATAGCTGTGGCATCAGGAGAGGCTAGCCATACCAAGTACGATCCTGTCCAAGACCCTTGGTACATTACGCCTTCCAACTCCAGTGTATAGCCTGAGTCTGTAAAATGGATTGGGGCTTTAAAGTTTTCTATGGTAAGTTTTAATTAGCTAGAAAGTGACCTACACACACTGAGATGAATAGTGATCTACATATCTATCGAGTTGTTTTTTGTTTTGTTTTTTTTAATTACAGCCCCGAACTTACTTTTATAGATGCAATTTCAGCATCAGTTATGGCCTAGAGCTCAGTCACATATTTTCACAATATCCCAGGATTTTGGCAGCAAGGTCTCTACCCTTGAACTGAAAACAAAAATATGCTGTTAGTTTTCTTCTGGAAATACTAACCAAAAGAATTTAAAATAAAAACATTTAAATAACTATCTTTAAAAAGATTAAAAAAAAAAGAATAATCCAGTTGTGTTTAAATGAAACTAGTATATCATTGAGGCTTGTTACTTTTTAATTTTTCTTTTAAAACTTTTCCTTTAGTGAATTTAATACTCTGAGAAAGAAAATATCCCTCAATAGCTAGATTTAGGCATACTGCATGGAAACATTCATCTTCCTTACACAGCTCAGGCAACACATCAAATACCATCTACACTATCCTCTCCTGCTTCAATATTTACCCTCTTTGAGACGGATGAACTGTGAGCGTTTTGGAGTGGTAGCTAACAAATGTTAGAGACCTTGCAAAATCCCTTACATTAACTGGCTTAGTGGTTTTGAGATGGTCTCTCGTGTGTAGGTTTCCAGAGCTGGGAGGCTAAGCTATCAAACCACTATCTTGCTCCATTTCCTTTTGTTTTACGATTATTTAAAATTTAGAAATCAAAATGGGGGTGGTAATGGGGGGGAAATTTTCATGAACTCCTCCCCTCCTTGGCTCCAGTTATAACAATTTTTTTGGCACGTCTTCTTCCATTGCACTTTTACTGGTAACAGTACTAGTGTTGATAGTGCACCAGTGCTTTTACCAAATGTAACCTAAAACTGCTCGGAGCAGATCTAGACAACAAGGTGGGGAAAAAGCTAGTACCTACCTGAACCCTTCAAAAACTAGTAAAAA